CCTAAAAAAAAAAAAAACAAAAACAAAAAAAAAAACCCAAACCAAAAAAAAAAAAAAAAAAAACAAAAAACAAAAACAAAAAACCCAGAGAAGTCAAATGCAGGGCACAAATAAATAATCTTTAATTTCAACAAAGAACTCCCTGTCACAGAAGACATTATGCTGTGGAGAAAGATACAGACACTTCCAACAAGGAAAGAGATCTATTCTAACTACACTAAAGCCTTAGCACAGGAGACATGACTGGTGTTCACACAGAGAGATCCTGGGAGTATGGGTGGGGGAGGTCATCAAGGAGGGATGTGGCGCCAAGCGTCAGACCCCCTGATAGGTCTTAATCATCACCATCCAGTGAAAATAAAGTTGCTTTTGCCTCACTGTATCTTACTTACAGGACATACACACATTCTCACTGCTGAGATGGAGTCTCAGAGATTGGAGGACATGGGGTGAACTCTCAGTTGATGAGAGGTGGAGATAAGGGAGCTCTCAGGACAGAAGTCTCTACAGGACATGTAGGCACACGTGTGCTCACCTGTGAGGCACCGTGAGGCACATACACATAAACATACACCTACACCCCGACGGGAAGTCCCTGGAATATCCTAACACAAGGACAAGTTTCTGATGCTGAATTGTTTTCTTCTGTTGCCGTTTGGGCTCTCCAAGGAGTCTAATCTATGCATCACATTTACTAAGGACAGGACAAAAATACACCTTTGGAGAAAGGTCTCAGGTTGGAGAGCCGCAGGGAGCACAAGCCTATTCAGAAGTTTCCCAGTGGGTGTGTGTTTTTGGAACGGGGTCAGGCCCCCCACACACTGGCCAAACTTGGGGTAAATTGGGTCTCAAAGTCTGACTTCTTTGGGGAAGTCCCCTTTCCCTGGCCTGAGGGTTAAAAATGCATTTAGGGACAGGAATACAAAGAAGCAGGCACAACCAAGGAGTCCCATGGCTGACCCGCTTGGCTTGTGATCTACAGATGGAATGGAGTTTCTGGAAACTTCTCAGGCCTCCCCCAGTGAGGGTGGCTTTTGTGATCAACTGTCATTTTGCTCTCAGAGCCGAGAGGACTTGTGTATACACGTGCATGTGTGTGAAAAGTTTATGTACATGTGGGTCCAATAGGTATATGATTCTTTTCTTTCCTCTTTTTTAACAAGGAAGGCTGTCTTCCCCATGGCACTCAGGTCACCTCCAGGGAGGCAGGAGACACACGGTCACACTCGGCTCGGGACCTCAGACTGTGCCACTGCTCCACAGCCGTGCGGTGGGTGTTCAGCATCCTCCGCCAGTGGTTGGACTCAGAAGGGCCGGAGGAATACTGGCCGATGACAATCCTCCCAATGAAGTCGTTGCTGCTCTTCATGTTGTGACCAAACACTAGGAAGCCAGAGAGGTAAGGGCAGTCAGGGAGACGGGGAGAAGAGGAGGGGACATGGGACAGGGAGGTAGGAACAAGACAGAGGCCATTAGTTCACACATTGCTCAGCTGCAAACATGAGGTTGTTGCTTTGGATACATCATTTCTTCTCCCAGTTCCTTCATCTCACCCTCCTGTGAGTCCCTCCACCACAGCCCAGGCTCCTGCTGTCCCTTACCATGTCAACCATGTTCCCACTTCCCAGTATTAACCCTGGCTGTCTCTTCTGTGAGACAGCTGTGCCACCCCCAATACACTATAAGCTTACATCCCATTGGTTCCTACACTACTTACAGAGCTCTGTGAGTGGACATTTCTGGTAGAACAGCAAGCTGTCACTGTAGTTCAGCTGAGTGGGCAAACCAGGATTTTGTGTGTGTGTGTGTGTGGTGTAAGTGCACATGTGTACAGATATGTGCCCCTATGCACATTCTTGTAGAGACCAGAGGAGAACATCAGGAATCCTGATCTATCCCTTTCTGCCTTCTCTTGAGACAGCATCTCTCACTGAACCTGAAGCTAGATTGGTAGCCAGTGAGCCCCAGCCACCATCCTGTCTCCACCACCTACAGCACTAGGGTTCCAGGTGCACATGCTCAGTTTCTTATGTCAGTGCTGGTTATATGAGGTCTTCATGCTTGTACAGCAAGTACTCTTACCCAGTAAGCCATCTCCAGCGTCAAACCAGAGTTTCTCAATGGAAGTGCTGCTGACATCATGAACTGGATGATCCTTTGCTGTAGAGGCTTTTCCAGGGATGTTAGCAGTATCTCTGGACTCTACCCACTGGATGCCAGTAGCAGCACCCTACTTCCAGCTGTAACAGCCTAAAATATCTTGTGAGATGGTCAACAGTCTTGTGAGGGGTCAGTCCATCCCGGATGAGAGGTGCTAGGGTTAAGCTATGGGGACAGACATCCTGAGGTAAATCTTGGGGTGATGAAGCAAGCAAGATGTGGTTAATCTCAATTGTCAACTTGATGAGACCGAAAGTCACCTGGAAGACAGGCCTCCTGGCATTATCTTGATTAGACTGAGGTGGGGAGACCTGCCCACTGTGGATGACACCATTCCCTGGGCTTAGGTCCTGGATTGTGTAAAAAGGAGAAATTGAGCTGAACATTTATTTATTCCTCTCTGCTTCCTGACTGGATACACAATGTGATCAGCTTCCTCAAGCTCCTCCTGCCTTGATGTTCCCAGACATGATGGCCTATGCTTTGAACTATGAGCCCAAATAAGCCCTTTCACCCTTTGCTTGCTTTTGATGGGTATTTTTAATCACAGCATCAGGAAGAGTGTCTAAGGCACATGGTAAACTCTCTTAAGCCCCCCTTTTCTCATTAAATGAATAGGATTCTCAATAGCACTTTATCTCACAAGTCAATGCAGGATGTAGTTGAAGATGAAATGATGTATGTGTGTCAGTGCACAGTACCCAGCGAGTGACAAATGCTCAGTAAATGTTGTACCACCATTTTGATCTTAAATTTCTGTTTACTGACTGCATAAAAGGGGCCCACACTTCCTCTGTTGCACACAATGGAGTCAAGTCTGCTGAGCAAAATGGCCAGGGCAGTTTCTTCTGCCCCTTGTCATGTTGTGTGTCTCCTTGGAAGGATTCTCTGTTCATTCCAATGCAAACTTAATTAGTGTCTTCTAAACCAAATGAGATGGCTAGCTTGATTTATCTTCCTGGCCAAGTTCCTCCTCATTCTTTTTCTGTGTGTGGGTAGTCCTAGCCTGCCATTGCGTTAATGGGGAAGCAGGCTGTGTCTGTGTTATAAATGAAAGGCTACAGAATGGGAAATATCACAGATTCACCCAGCACGAGCCAAGCAAAGATGGGCTGGATTCCAGGAGCAGTGCTGATTATCAAATAAGAAAGCTCAAATCTGCTGCCCCAGAGCCTGAACACTAACAAGCCTCTTTTCCTCTGTGGCATTCACATGGAGAATTCCAAGTGACAATAAGGGGAGAGGGGAGAGAAGAGGAGAAAAACAAAACCAAGGACACCATCCAATGTCTGAAAACCAGGAACACCTAGTGAAGCAGGGCAGGAAAAACACAGCGTCATCTCTCTCAAGGGGGTCTGGTACTTGTCAGCTCCTCAGGGAAAAATTGGATCATGTATATTTTTTGTACATTTGGTACTGAGTATGGTATGCATAGATGGGCCTCATTTACATGAAAATCCCTCAGAACAGAAGGCAGTGTTAGGAATGGAGTCTGCTTAGTAAAGGAAATTGCTAAGGCATTCACTGATGCATTTGAAAATATTTTTGAATGGATAAAAATCAAGACCCTTTCAAACCAACCTAGTGAATAGCATTGGTTGGTCTCACCAAATGAGAATAAGTTTGAGTCCCCTTTCTTATGAACCTCAAATCTAAAACAAGACGCTACTAGGAGACCATTCCAGGCGCCATTTTGTTTTCTGTGGTCAAGGCAAAATGATTTGTCATTTTCTATCTCTCCATAGCCCAAAAATGGTGGACAAGCCAACTGGGAATGGCCGCTCTCGGCCACCCTGGGAGCGACTCCTGGTTTCTGTGGATAGTGTTCCACCTTGGGCACTGTAGTGGTCTACCTGGTCAAGCCAGCTTGTCTATATAAAGTGTTGGGTGACTTGCCAGCCCCAATATCAGCTTGACTTTAGAGGGGTCAGCTGCTTAGATGCTTTGCTGTGCCTATGTGACCAAGCCTGTTAAGTATCCCAGACACCAAGGCTCAAGAGCACTTTCCTGGTTGGCAGGACTTTGAGCATGCTGTCACTCATCACTGCTGGGACCATTACCGTACACTTGACTCCAGTGAGGGAGGACAGCTGGATGCTTGGACTGAGTCTCTCCTGGACTCTGTCCTGTGAACCTATCTTGTTCTCTCTGGCTGCTATGAAAAAGTGCCATAAACCAGGCAGTTCACAAACACCAGAAACATAGTTCTTATAGCTCTAAAGGCTGGGAAGTCCAAGAGCAAAATGTAACACATTCTGTGTCTGCTGAGGGCTGGCTCTCTCTGCATCAGATGGCATCTTCTTGCTGCATTCTAACATTGTGTTGTGGGAGTGCACAGAGAGGGCAAGGCAACTCTCTAAGCCCTCTTCCACCCAGGAGAGAATGGATCCCATTCCCAAGAGTGGAGTCTTCATCACCTCCTCAGGCCCCAGCTCTTCATACCATTGTATTGGAGGCTACGACTCAACAGATGAATTCTGGGAAGACAGAAACATCCAGAGCTTAGCCCAAGCTTTTCACTTGGCTGATTGTGGTCTCAATCCTTTTCCTATGATCAGTTGTCACTGTGAGCACAATAGCTCTGCTGAATTCAAGGAGTCCTGCTTGTGAAGCACTGAATGTGAGGGTAGGTTCAGGAGCCTCTAGGACTGCAGACCCCTCTCATCCAGTGCTTGATTGGTTGGTTTGGCTCCCTTTCCTAGCTCCCTCCCTAATCTCTTTGTATGTGTTTGTGTGCATGTTTGGGTATTTGCAGAGGAGGTGTCAAGTGCAAGGGGTCCTCCTTTACCACTCCCCCCCGCTTTTTTTTTGAGACAGTGTCTCTTACTGAACAGGAAGTTTGCTGTTTTGGCTAGGCTTGATGGCCAACGAGCTACTGGGATCCACCTGTCTTTACCCTCCAATGCTGGGGTTACAAGTATGTGTGGCCATGCCCAGTTTTTACTTGGGTGCTGGGGATTCAAACTCAGGTCTTCTTGCTTTCAGAATAAGTGCTCTTACCCTTGGTACCATCTTCTCAGCCCCAACTCCCCCGACTTTCTTATAGCTGGTTCCTTGGACCACTTCCTGTGGTGGCTTGAATGAAAACTGTGTCACACAGGCATAGGTACTGAAACGCTTGGTCCCCAGATGGTGGCACTGTTTTGAAGAGGCCATGGAACCTTTAGGAGGTACAGCTTGGCTGGAGGAAGCACATCACTGGGGGTGGGCTTTGAGGGTTCTAGCTTGGCTCCATCTCTAGTTCAATCTCTCAGCTTCCTTTGTGTGGATGGCAATGTAACCAGCCAGCTTCCTGCTCCCGCCACCTCCTGCCATGCCTTCCTCACCATCATGCACTCTCCCCCTGGAACCCTAGGTCCAAGGAACCTTCTCTTTTTCTTAATTTTTCATTCAACAGTCCTTAATCAAACTTAGATCCCCACCCATCCATGCCCCACTCCCCTGCCAGTCCTAGGACACTTATATTAAAACTCACCTACCCATAGCTCAGAGACCATTGTGGAAGAGGGGACAGAAAGAATGTAAGGGCCAGGGTTGGTCCATGAACAAAGGGAAACAGAGGTTTTCAGGCCACTGGAATCTTGTACATGTGAACTTGTGGCAATGGTGGCATCAAGCACAGGACCCATGCCAACTCAATCAGACAAGGGCCCAGAGTGGAACTTTCTTAAGATGCTTTCAGTCGTGGTATTTTTATCACAGCAACAGAGAAGTAACTAATACACCTTCCCAGCAGCTTACTTGCATCACCTTAGAATCTGCTTTGGGGACGCCTCTATCAAGAATGGAGAGGACTAAAAAAAAATAATTTCTGATGTAATATAATCCCATGGGAATCTAAATCACTGTTGGAAATGAGACAGAGACACATATACAACAGGGGAAAATCTCCAAGCCATATTGCTAGGATACAAAAGCAAGCTACAAAACAGAACAGGCAAACACT